TACTCGGTAAATTATACAAGTTCTTGTCTCCAACATTCCAGACTGTGTTTCAAGAAATAAATTTCATTGGTTTACCCAGCATTATTCGTTACTTACGTACGTTGAGGCTGTTCAGTCTTCAAAATTACCGGCTGCTATTAGGTAAATATTTATTCGCTTTTACCGTAAACGAAATAAACAACATATTTATTTCACCGTAAAAAAACTAGAAGCTTTCGCATGTCTTCACATCGACTCCAGTCAAAAGAGCAGTTTAATTTGACCGCTGGTGAACGAACTCCCATTCTTTTGTTCTGTACTTGTCTTGTAATTGGCTAAAAAACGTTGGGTGGCCCCGGTTGAGTTAGTTTCACTGTAAAAGTGCAATAACTTTTGCCATCAAAGACATTTAAGAGTCTGTTAAAGTAAAACTCCTTAAGCTTACACTTAAAAGAGCCAAGGGACTCTGACTGCCTAGCATCAACTGGAATATTGTTCCACAAGGGGATAATTCTAATCAAATAAAAGTCTCGAAAAGTAGATGTTTTGCTCATATCTAGTTTAAAGGTAAAAGCTGAGCATCCTAGGCGAGTCTGACTGGTAACAGGTGAAAATAATTATCAGTTGGTCGGGTTAGATCTATACACCCTCTTACATTTTTCTCCATTAGCCTTTGATTCTGCAACAGATTCCTCTCCATTTTGATTACCATCAGTAACAACATCGCTATCCAGATTATTTGAAGACATGCTGGGCAGTTTTCCATCAGGTAAACCAGTATTGGAAGCCTTTCCACTACAAAATTCCTCTGGATCATTACAGTATAGGATCTCATCCTCACAAGGCTCCTTTGGAGATTTTTTAAATGTGCTTTTCTTATCCACACCAGTAACTCCTGGTTCTGTTATATGAGATTCCATGAATTCGTCTTTAGCTGCTTTGTCACTTGTTGTCTGTTCATTGTGTAAGTTAATGGACCCATCATGTGAGACATCCATGTCCTCCTCCTTTTTCAGTGAATTATCAGCTTGTGTTTTCTTTGTCTTTTCTTTCTTTTGCTCTGACAGTTTGTCATGATGGTCACTGTCTGGCAATACAGCAGAGATTTCCTCTATTGTTATTGCATCTTCATTTGATGAGCTCACTTTCAACAACTCATTTTGCACTGCAAAGTAACAATTATTTCAATTATTCAAAAGAATAATTAATCAACCAGCACAAGTATCAGAAAGAGTATTTTTCTTCCTCCTTCGCTTCTTTCCTTCTCTCCACCATTAGCCCTTAACACCCCAACATTGTCTGCATATTCTCCATAATGTTCTCAATACCTTTCCTAGAATGCTGACAAGGAGAATTTGTTTAACAATCACGGGCTTCTTTAGTCAGTGATTGCTTCCCCTATTCTTGTGACCTTAATGTTTAATTCAGGGGTGATATTGTAAAGGGAGGTTAACTGCTTGCCACTCTTAGAGTCAAAGGGTTCAGCCACTTTGTAAGATTTTCTTTTCCCTCCAAACCTTGCTCTACTTCATGTGGTGGATACTCAATTGCACTTACAATCAAGACTGTTTTTTCCACTGTGTCTTTTGTCTGTAATGCCATCACTCATTGTGTCAAAATCTGAAAAAAATGTTATTTAAACCCACAGACAGTTGGTCCCAGGTGGATGGCATTTGCAAAGCAGCCAGTAGATTAAAAAGCTTTTAGGATCTCGGAGTGAGACAGTTCAGACTCACAGTTTATCAGAGACATGATAAGTACAACTTATATTTACTAGTAAGTTGTTTAACCAGTCACACTGGTAGGAAACATCATTAACACATTAGAAATATAATAAATTGTTCAGACCAATCTTGAAGAAAGAAATCTGGGTATAAATACCAAGCAACATTGTCCACAACAGCCTAATTGTAGCTTCTCTTTCTGTAACATGTGCCAAATTGATAGGTTTTACTGTCAAAATTTGATAACTTGTATCCAGGTCCCTATCATAACACCATCATTGGTAAATCAGTGACCTAAGCATCCCAATACTTTTTTTTTATCTAAGTGTTCAGTAGAGTACTAGACTAT